AAAAAAAAAAAAAAAAGGAAAAGAAAAAGAAAAGACAAAAAGATATGGGACAGGACTGCAGGGCCTAAAAGGGAAAAGGTCAGTTTGTCAGTGTGGGTCAAAGGTGAGAAGGACAAAGTCTGGGCTGGGAAGAGATGCATAAATATTTGCAAATGTTTTGTCCTTCACTGTTTTGGAAGACATCAACTTTCTGGTTTCCTTGTGATTCTGGGAAAGGGCAGGATTAAAAACAGCAACAACAACAATAACAATAAAAGTAATTCAGGTCATGAAGATACCAAAGCAAATGAGATGTTTGGACTGTTTTTTTCCTCTGGCTTATTTCTCAAAATAGGAGGATCACCCACATCCTTTAAGAGTGAAGATGAGGGCCGGACGCGGTGGCTCAAGCCTGTAATCCCAGCACTTTGGGAGGCCGAGACGGGTGGATCACGAGGTCAGGAGATCGAGACCATCCTGGCTAACACGGTGAAACCCCGTCTCTACTAAAAAATACAAAAAACTAGCCAGGCGCGGTGGCGGGCGCCTGTAGTCCCAGCTACTCGGGAGGCTGAGGCAGGAGAATGGCGTGAACCCGGGAGGCGGAGCTTGCAGTGAGCTGAGATCCGGCCACTGCACTCCAGCCTGGGCGACAGAGCGAGACTCCGTCTCAAAAAAAAAAAAAAAAAAAAGAGTGAAGATGAGGTGTGTTCAGGGCAACCGAAGTTTCCAAGAGCTAAGACACTTTCTAGCTCTGGCCAGTCTTGGTGTCTCTTTGTCCCGAGCCTTTCTCCACTTTCCAACGTGAGCACTGCTTCCTTCCAGCAGGGCTGCTCTGATGTCCCCCCATGGTCCAGGCTGTGCTGCTCCTTTTCTGTGTCCTGCTGTCCCTGGTGTCTGCCTTTCCAAGAAGTACCCAGAACGAGACCCTGAGCCTCCAGCCATCTTTCACAGAGACTGGGCACCCATCAAACATGCTCTCCATTTTTTGGAGAACACGGAGAGCCAGATTCCTCTCCCAGATCCCAGGACCTGCCAGGATCTCTTACACACAGCCCCCTTCCTAGCCCCTGTCTGAGTACCTGTCCAACTTAGCTCTGAGGATGGCCCTGGAGGAGGTGGGCTGCCCAACTGAGGCCCATGTTCTGCAGCTTCAGATGGGAGGAAAGGATACCACTGAAACCCTCATCCATGAGAGTCAAAAAGTTCAATGGGGAGGAAGGCAATACCAACGTTAATTGTGAAGAATCTAGTGGTCCCTTCGGGAAGTGTGAATAAACCGAGCACCCAGCTGCCCATCCTGGGAAATGTATGGATGGTGGCAAATATACCCACTGGGGTGGCTGGCTTACCAGTTAGCTCAGATGGTGATTGAATTTGCTGAGAAACCATCTCCCATGATGCTTGGTGCCACAGTTCAAAGCTTTTGGTGTCAACATCACCGAGAACTGCAGGTATGAGTGTTGGGAGCGTATTGAAGAATCAGGCAAAAAGTTGAAGAAGCTGTCAAGTTAAGATCATTTAAATGTCCATGGACAGTGACAATCTAATCTATCAAATGTTCCACAGCTATTCTGAAGTGCTTTGTGAGGAAAATGATCCAGGAATTGATCCTGGCTCACTTCAGCTATTCAAAATGCCACATAGGTAACGAGTCTCCTTTCCCAGGACTGTATTCAAGGACGGGACACAATAAGTAGTTAGAAATGTTGGAGACCACTTCGGACAGATGAATGCTCTTTATTTCATCCCTTCGCTTAAACACACATGTGACCAGTGTTAGCCTTGCCCTTCTCCACTTAGTAGGTGTCAGCCCCTATTTTTTTTTTTTTAAGATGGAGTCTCACTCTGTAGCCCAGGCTGGAGTGCATCCTGGCCCACTGCAACCTCCACCTCCCGGGTTCAAGCGATTCTCCTGCCTCGGCCTCCCAAGTAGCTAGGACTACAGGCACCCACCACCACGCCTGGGTATTTTTTTTTTTTCCGATATTTTTAGTAGAGACAGGCTTTCACCATATTGGCCAGACTGGTCTTCAACTCGTGACCTTGTGATCCGCCCACCTGGGCCTCCCAAAGTGCTGGGATTACAGGCGTGAGACACCATGCCCAGTCGCTAATTTAATTTTTAAAATGAAGAGAAATGAGAGTATCACAAACATCTCATCTTTCCTAATTCTGAATTTCCCTGGCTCCTATCATGAGCTTACTGTATGTGGCAGGGACATACAGGAAATGCCAAAGAACAGGACTGTGGGTATAGATGTTGAGTGTGTGACAAGGGCACAAGGTTTGAGCAGCCAGTATAAATGGGCAAATATTTGCAGAGATTACATCCTTCACTGATCATAGGGGAAAGCAAATATCTCCTTTCCTCACGGGACAGAGAACTAGGCAGAACAGGATCGGGGAGCAACCAAAACTCACTTCTCAATGACTGGACTGTGTGGTAATCTGGGGTCCCTATATATGGGTGGAAATAAAACAGAATCCCTGGTGACCTGTAAATGAGGGAAACCAAGTGGGAGCAATTGGGGTGCATTTCCTATTTCCTAGGCCTTTACCTAAAAAGAACAGAAGCTTGGGGCTAGGTGCAGTGGCTCACACCTGGAAGCCTATCACTTTGGGAGGCGGAGGTGGGAGGATCACTTGAGCCCAAAGTTCAGAATCAGGCTGGGCAAGATGGCAAAACCACATCTCTACAAAAATTTTAAAAATTAGCTGGGCATGGTGTCATGCACCTGTAGTCCCAGCTGCTTGGGAGGCTGAGGCAGGAGGATCCCTTGAGCCCAGGGGTTCAAGGCAGCAGTGATTTGTGATCCCATCACTGCACTCCAGTCTGGGCAACAGAGCAAGACCCCGTCTCTAAAAAGAAAGTACAAAAGCTTGTAGGTAGGTGATGTATGAGGTGTCCCCCTAACTGAGCTGTGGGCTCACCATAGCCCTTAGGGAAATGGTTTGTATGTTTTGGATTTCTCCCCTTTCTAGGGTACTCTGCTCCAGACATGTGTGGCCTCAGACTCATCATGATACCAGTTGAGCTGCTACTTTGCTACGTCTTGCTGCACCCTGTGGATGCCACTTCATCTGGAAAGCAGACAAATGTCTTGATGCACCTTCCCTTGTCCTTGGAATCCCAGACACCCTCCTCAGACCCCTTGTCCTGCCAATTTCTGCACCCAAAGTCACTGCCTGGTTTCAGCCACATGGCCCCTCTACCCAAGTTCTTGGTAAGCCTGGCTCTAAGGAATGCCCTGGAGGAAGCTGGTTGCCAGGCTGATGTTTGGGCTCTACAGCTACAGCTCTACCGCCAGGGTGGTGTGAATGCTACACAGGTCCTCATCCAGCATCTTCGAGGGCTCCAGACAGGAAGAAGCACAGAGAGGAACGTGTCAGTGGAAGCCCTGGCCTCTGCTCTGCAGCTGTTAGCCAGGGAGCAGCAAAGCACAGGAAGGGTCCGGCGCTCCCTCCCCACAGAGGACTGTGAGAATGAGAAGGAGCAAGGTATGCACAATGTCATCCAGCTGCTGCCAGGAGTGGGAACCTTCTACAACCTGGGCACAGCTTTGTATTATGCTACTCAAAACTGCCTGGGCAAGGCCAGGGAACGAGGCCGAGATGGGGCCATAGATCTGGGATATGACCTTCTGATGACCATGGCCGGGATGTCAGGGGGACCTATGGGTCTAGCGATCAGTGCTGCACTTAAACCTGCATTAAGGTCTGGGGTTCAGCAGTTGATCCAGTATTACCAAGATCGGAAAGACGCAAACATCTCTCAGCCAGAGACCACCAAGGAGGGTTTGAGGGCCATCTCAGATGTGAGTGACTTGGAAGAAACAACTACCCTGGCTTCTTTCATATCAGAAGTAGTAAGTTCAGCTCCCTACTGGGGGTGGGCCATAATCAAGAGCTATGACTTAGATCCTGGGGCTGGGAGTCTTGGGATATAAAAGAAGGTAGTAACCACAGAACTAATAAATCTAATATCCTGACAAGCTGTATACATGTCTTCAAAATTTTAAACTCCGATTTATTCAGGAGGAAGGCTGTACAGTAAAACGTAGGAACGTAAATGTTTGGGGGTTGAAGTCAGAGGGTTTGGTTTTGAATCTAGGCTCCACTTGTTAGAGCCTCCGTGATCACTGACTGGTAACTTCTTTCTTGAACTAAGATCAGTTTTTAAATTTCTAAAGGAGAGAATGATTTTAACTTCAACGAGTTGCCCTGTAAATTTTAAATGACACAATTAATCTAAAGTGCTTATCACAGTACTCTCAATAAATAGCTATTAGCCAGGTGCAGTGGCTCATGCCTGTAATCCCAGCACTGTGGGAGGCCGAGGCAGGAGGATCACCTGAGGTCAGGAGTTCAAGACCAGCCTGGGCAACATGGCGAAACTCCGTCTCTACAATAAACACAAAAAATTATCCTGGCGGAGTTATGCACGCTTGTAGTCCCAGCTACCTGGGAGGCTGAGGCGGGAGAATCACCTGAGCCCGGGTGGTCGAGGCTGCAGTGAGCCGAGGTCGCGCCACTGCACTCCAGCCTGGGTGATAAGAGCGAGACCACGTCTCAAAAAAAAAAAAAAAAAATACTGTTTTCATTACCTCAGCCCTCCTCTTCCTATCCCAAGGCGTCGAAATTCCGGTCCCACCCCTTCCCATGGAGCCCTTGGCGTCTACAGGCTCCTCAAGCTAGTTTCGGTTCCGTGGCTCACGAGCGGGTTCTCGAAAATCAGCTGTTTCAGTCTTGGGCCAGTCCACTAATTAGACTCCTCCCCTCGTAGAAAGTGCCTACTTGAACTTCTCCACCAATCGCTGGAGCTGCAGGTGTGGTTTCGGCTCAGCTTGTCCCGCCCCGCGGGGGGGTGTAGTTGCGGCGGCGCCAGTGAGTTCGCAGTCTGGGAAGGGCTTGACTGAGTGGCAGCCAGTGTCGGGGTGGCGACTGGGAATGGGGCCGCTCCGGACTTCCGCTGCCAACTACAAGGGGGCGGGTCCGAGGGTGTAGGCCGAAGTTGTAGGCGGGGCCTGAGGCTCTAGTACCTGAACTCCTTCTACGGACGGGAAGTCGCGACCAGAGCCAGTGGAGGGCGCGGGGACTGCAACCCTAATCAGGTACGGGCCCTGAGAGGGTGTGCTGAGGTAGGGGTGGGGGTGAGAGTGAGAGTTCCTCCCAGGGAAGGGCGACTGGCCCCAGGAGTTACGCCCTGGAGGGGGCAGCTTCTGTCCCCAGGTTGAAAGAGGAGCTGTCTGTCGCCTGCTCGGTTCTCGATCTTCTCCTGTCCAGCCTATCTCCCCAACCCCAATGCCCCTCCCCGAAAACTGCCCTGCAGCTTCCGAGACCCGGAATCTGGCATTGTTGGTTCGGTATCTGACGTTACTCTGCTCTGCATTATTTTTTATCTTCACCTAAAAACGATGTTCAAAGATAGATAAATCTAAAAACAAAGATAGATAAATATATCGTCTTTATTTGTTTTGTTTAAAAGTATAAGCTACTGAAAGATGAAACATTGCCTAAGGTCACACACAAAATTCAGTTCATTTCAGAAAAGCTTCTTGAGTGCAAAATATGTGCTTAAGAGTGAGAGATAATGAGAAAAAATTGTTTTAGCTCTTAACCTCAGTGTTTGCAATCCATTCGGGGAGACCAGGTTTTTTGTTTTGTTTTCATATTTGAATCTTTGCTGACTTGCTCCTTTAATATCAGACACTTAAATCCTCAAGAATTGGGACCTCATTATTATTATTATTATTATTATTATTATTATTATTATTTTAGAGATGGAATCTCAGTATGTTGCCCAGGCTCGGTTTCAAACTCCTGACTGAGCTCAAGCCATCCTCCCGTCTTGTGGGCCTCACAAAGTGCTGGGATTACAGGCATGAGCCACCATGCCTGGCCACCTAATCATTTTTTTAACTTATATTTTTTTGTATCATAAAAGCAATACAGACACATAGTTTTAAAAATCAAGCACTACTAAAAGGGTTAAAATGAAAATAGCCCCTGCCCAATCCTTCCCTTCCCTTGTTCCTGCTGGAGGTAGAAGGGCAGCTGATGTTATTCATGTTAGTAGAAGACTATACCACCCCAAGCATTTCTTTTTACTTTGTAATAAAATCATGTGACCTTTTTAGACCACTAATGTGCATGAATTCTGTTTTGTTAGGCTCAGGCTGCAACAAGCTTAAGTTTCAGTTTCCTAAATAGACACCAGATGGCAGCGAGCAGGGAACAGTGGGGAGAAAGATGCAAGGCACAGCCTGCTTGGTGACAGGCAAAAGCCAATTCATTGTTGTTGTTTTGATTCAGAGACTGCACTCTGTCTCCCAGGCTGGATGTGATCTCCACTTACTGTAACCCCTGCCTCCTGGGTACAGGCCATTCTCCTGCCTCAGCCTTTTGAGTAGCTGGGATTACAGGTGCCCACCAACATGCCTGGCTAATTTTTTTGTATTTTTGGTAGAGATAGGATTTCACATTGGCCAGGCTGGTCTTGAACTCCTGACCTCAAGTGATCCTCCCGCCTCTTCCAAAGTGCTGGAATTACAGGCATGAGCCACTGTGCCCTGCCAAAACAAAAAAAACAAAAAAAATTTAAGTGAAGTTTCAGGATCTCACAAAGTTGATAACTTATAATCATATTCAAGATTCACAGGTCATAAACGTGTCATATTCTTAGGGACTGAGCAACCCGTTGCATAGCATTTAGATGTCTTCTAGCATGGAGCTCCTCCTTCCTTTATGGAGGGCAGTTTATAGGGTGTACTTACCTAACCTCCAAAAAGATTTAGCTCCTAAAAAAGCTTCAGGTGGCCGGGCACGGTGGCTCACACCTCTAATCCCCGCACTTTGGGAGGCCAAGGTGGGCAGATCACCTGAGGTCAGAAGTTCCAGACCAGCCTGGATGACATGGTGAAACCCCATCTCTACTAAAAATACAAAAATTAGCAGGGCATGGTGGTGGGCGACTGTAATCCCAGCTAGTCAGGAGGCTGAGCCAGGAGAATCCCTTCAACTCGGGAGGCAGAGTTTGCAGTGAGCCGAGATCATGTCACTGCACTCCAGCCTGGGTGACAGAGCAAGACTCCATCTCAAAAAAAAAAAAAAAGCTTCAGGGTCAGCAGGGATCATGCTGTAATAAATACTTAACATCAACACTGATCTTTAAATGCTTATATTTGTTTAGCATAAACAAATATAAACAACAAACACATAAATGCAAAATAAATGAATTAGAGAGATAGATGAAATAAGATAGTGGAAACAGTAGTTTGTTAAAGCTGGATGGTGATCCTTGTACTAGTCACTCTGCTTTAGTGTGTGTTTGAAAATTACCATTAGGCTGGTTATGGTGGCTCATGCCTGTAATCCCAGCATTTTGGAAGGCTGAAGCAGGCAGATCACTTGAGCTCAGGAGTTTGAGATCTGCCTGGGCAACATGGCAAAATCCTATCTCTACAAAAAATTAGCTGGCGTGATAGCACACTCCTGTAGTCCCAGCTTCTTGAGGGGCTGAGGCAGAGAATCGCTTGAACCTGAGAGATCAAAGCTGCAGTGAGCCAAGATCATGCCACTGCACTCCAGCCTGGGTGACCAAGTGAGACCCTGTCTTAAAAAAAAAAAAAGAAAAGAAAATTCCCATTAAAGCACAAAGGCCCACTTACTGAAGCTATTAAAATACAGGTTGGGGCCGGCTGGGTGCGGTGGCTCACACCTGTAATCCCAGCACTTTGGAAGGCTGAGGTGGGCAGATCATGAGGTCTGGAGATCAAGACCATCCTGGCTAACACGGTGAAACCCTGTCTCTACTAAAAATACAAAAAAAATTAGCCAGGCATGGTGGCGGGCGCATGTAGTCCCAGCTACTCGGGAGGCTGAGGCAGGAGAATGGCATGAACCCAGGAGGCGGAGCTTGCAGTGAGCCAAGATCGCGCCACTGCACTCCAGCCTGGGTGACAGAGCGAGACTGCATCTCCAAAAAAAAAAAAAAAAAAAAATACAGGTTGGGGCCACAGTGGCTCATGCTTGTAGTCCTAGCACTTTCAGAGTCCAAGGTGATTGGATCACCTGAGGTCAGGAGTTTGAGACCAGCGTGGCCAACATGGCAAAACCCCATCTCTACTAAAAAAAATACAAAAATTGGCCGGGCATGGTGGTGGGCGCCTGTAATCCCAGCTACTCAGGAAGCTGAAGCAGAAGAATCACTTGAACCAGGGGGATGGAGGTTGCAGTGAGCCAAGATCATGCCACTTCACTCCGGCCTGGGCAACAGAATGAGACTCCATCTAAAAAATATATATATATATACAGATTAGGCATTTCTAATCTGAAAAATTGGGCTCCACAGTTTTCCAGTGAGCATTTCCTTTGAGCATCATATGGGTGCTCAAAAAGTTAGATTTTGGACCATTTCAGATTGCAGAGTTTTGGATTAGGGATGCTCAACTGGTAAGTAATGCAGATATTCCAAAATCTGGACAAATCTGAAATCCAAAATGCTTGGAATAGCAGATACTCAACCAGTAGCACTCCCTGGAAGAATATGCACCAAACTGATAGCAGTGGTTACTTCTGGAGAGGAGGGGAAAGAACCAAGATTAGGAGTAGGGTCAACATAGACTTTAATGTTTTCAATATTTTTATTACTTGTATAATTTAAACATTTTAAATTAGTAATAATGAACAATCATGAAACTATGGATGATTTAGTCCAGCAAAATATCCAGTTGGGAACCCTCATCTTTCTGATGCAGAGCCCAAATGGCACAGTGGGAAATGCTGCAGAATCTTGACAGCCCCTTTCAGGACCAGCTGCACCAGCTTTACTCATGCAGTCTCCTGCCTGTGGACATTCGACAGTACTTGGCTGTCTGGATTGAAGACCAGAACTGGTGAGGCCTTCAGGAAGTTGGGGGAATGAGAAAGGTGGTGCCTTACTTCTGGGCCCCCAGGATCCTGGAATCATTAATGGCGGGAGGGGGTTGGAAAGCCTCAGGATTACAGTAAGACTGCAGAGACACTAATCCTTCTTATTCCTGGTTCCCAGGCAGGAAGCTGTACTCGGGAATGATGATTCCAAGGCTACCATGCTATTCTTCCACTTCTTGCATCAGCTGAACTATGAGTGTGGCCGTTGCAGCCAGGACCCAGACTCCTTGTTGCTGAAGCACAATTTGCGGAAATTCTGCCGGGACATTCAGGTACTTGGAAGGGTTGAGAGCAATGAGGTAGCACTGGGAGCTGAGTATAGAGGAGTAGGATTTGGAGAATGGAATAGTACTTGGAGGTGCAAAGGGAGACAGGGACAAATCTGGGGAAAGAAGGACAGAGTCTGGACTTGGGGAATTACTAGCAGAGAGGAGGGCTGCATATACATGACACTGTTGGGAGGATGCTATGGTGAAAAGAAAAAGGGCTAGGAACCCCGAAGGAAGAAGAAATACTGTGGACATTGGTGGGGAAGGTCTAGGATGATAGGTCATTGAGAGTGGTTGAATTGGATCAATACTTTCTGTTTTCCTATTCTAGGCCTTTTCCCAGGGCCCTACCCAATTGGCTGAGATGATCTTTAACCTCCTTCTGGAAGAAAAAAGAATTTTGATCCAGGCTCAGAGGGCTCAACCGGTGAGGACAATTCAGTGGTATTGTTGGAAACTTCTGAAATAGAGACGAACCATGGAAAGCACTCAGGGAGTTGTCTCACAACAGCATCCCCCCCAACATCCTGTGGTATGATTTCAGGCCTGAACTTAAGGCATGAAAGGCCAGAGTTAAAACATGCTCAGAGCCTCTTTTTTCAGGAGCAAGGAGAGCCAGCTCTTGTAACACCTGTGGAGAGCCAGCAACATGAGATCGAATCCCGAATCCTGGATTTAAGGGCTATGATGGAGGTTAGTAGATGTGGTAGGAGTTAGGGTGGGCAGCGTTCAGTCTAATACCTCCCTGAAAAGCAGCCTAATTGGGGTCCTCTCCCCTCTGCAGAAGCTGGTAAAATCCATCAGCCAACTGAAAGACCAGCAGGATGTCTTCTCCTTCCGATACAAGATCCAGGCCAAAGGTAGGAAGCACATTGAGGGGCTGGAGAAAGATAAGTGCCTGCTGAGAAGCCAGAGCTGGAAGTGAACAGGAGAAAGCTCCAATGAGCAGTAGTCACTGTCAGACACACCCCACTGACTACAGTCCTGCTGCCATGCAAAGCTGGAAGTGCCAGGGTGTTTTGTGGAGGTTGAGCTGGAGGTGTAGCTGGGAGACAGTAAATGTTGAGGAAATGCATGGAAAACTAACAGTGTTTTATTTGAGGGGGTGTCTGGTCCAAGCATGACCATTCAGAATTTGCCTGAGGGTCCCACAGGTGCCTGTGCTTTGGTTTCCCTTTCTTCCTCCACAAAATTCCTCCTTCCTGAATCCAACTGAGACCCCAGTCAGGAAGGAGAGGAAAGAACCCCTGGACTGACTCCTGTTCCCACCATCCAGGGAAGACACCTTCTCTGGACTCCCATCAGGCCAAAGAGCAGCAGATTCTGCAGGAAACTCTCAATGAACTGGACAAAAGGAGAAAGGTGGGAGGCAGAGGACAGAACGTGTGGGCAACAGGGACCTGGAAAAATGAGGGATGTGGGGACCCTGGTCCTCTAGCACTGGCTTCTTTGTTTCTTCATCCCCAGTTGGGTAGTGGAGGGTGAAAGAGAGAGATGCTCAAAACTCACATTATCTCTTTCCTAGGAGGTGCTGGATGCCTCCAAAGCACTGCTAGGCCGATTAACTACCCTAATCGAGCTACTACTGCCAAAGTTGGAAGAGTGGAAAGCCCAGCAGCAAAAAGCCTGCATTAGAGCTCCCATTGACCACGGGTTGGAACAGCTGGAGAAATGGTGAGAGGTACCACCCCAACCCTTGTCCTCGCCATGCACTGTGATTTGTAAGTTGCAGTGCCCTGCATATAGCAAGATATACTGTTCTCTATTGGTCTCTGCACCCCAGAATGAGCCCTGCTCCCTGCTGACTGCAGCTCTATTCTACTCCTCATCCTCACCACCCGGGGAGCCCAGAGCCCAGTCTCCTTCAGGGAAAGGAATGAATTAACCCACAATCTGATTTTTTCTTCCTTTTTAATCACCCAGAAATATATATCTATATATGTATATAGATATATATTTTACTGCAATGAATACAATGACAAGAAAGGAAGGAAGGAAGGAGGAAGAGAAAATTACCTATTATCTAACTTATTAAACAAAAATGGAATCATATTGTTCATACTATTTTGAAACCTATGAGTTTTTTTAAACTTAACAGTATTTTTTATACATATGTGTGTGTGTATATATATAATTTTTTTTTGAGACGGAGTCTCACTCTGTCGCCCAGGCTGGAGTGCAGTGGCACGATCTCGGCTCACTGCAAGCTCCGCCTCCCGGGTTCACGCCATTCTCCTGCCTCAGCCTCCCGAGTAGCTGATACTACAGGTGCCCGCCACCATGCTTGGCTAATTTTTTGTATTTTTAGTAGAGACGGAGTTTCACCGTGTTAGCCAGGATGGTCTCGATCGCCTGACCTCGTGATCCGCCTGCCTCAGCCTCCTAAAGTGCTGGGATTACAGACGTGAGCCACTGTGCCTGGCTTTAAAAATTTATTATAATTTAGACTTTTAAAAATATACCAGGCCAGTCATGGTGGCTCATGCCTGTTATCCTAGTGCTTTGGAAGCCTGAGGCAGGAGAATCACTTCAGGCTTGGGGTTTGAGATCAGCCCGGGAAACATAACAAGACCCCATCTCTACAAAAAAAAAAAATTTTTTTTTTTTTTTAATTAGGCATGTCCAGACGCAGTGGCTCATGCATGTAATCCCAGCACTGTGGGAGGCCAAGGTGGGCAGATCCCTTGAGGTGAGGATTTCAAGACCAGCCTGGCCAATGTGGTGAAACCCTATCTCTACTAAAATACAAAAATTTGCCGGGTGTGGTGGCTCATGCCTATATTCCTAGCTACTCGGGAGGCTAAGGCAGGAAAATCGCTTGAACTCGGGAGGCAGAGCTCAGCCGCAGTAGCGCCACTGCACTCCAGGCTGGGTGACAGAGCGAGACTCCGTCTCAAAAAAAAAAAAAAAGAAATTAGGCATGGTGGCACACGCCGGTAGTCTCCAGCTACTCAGGAGGCTGAGGTGGGAAGACTGCTTGAGCCCAGGTGTTCGAGGCTGCAGTGAGCCATGATTATACCACTGCAGTCCAGCCTGGACAACAGAACGAGACCCTGTCTCTAAAAGTATATATGTACACATACCATAATACCCAGCTACTGAGGAGGCTGAGGCAGAAAGAGTGCTTGAAGCCGGGCACGGTGGCTCAAGCCTGTAATCCCAGCACTTTGGGAGGCTGAGACGGGTGGATCACAAGGTCAGGAGATCGAGACCATCCTGGCTAACACGGTGAAACCCCGTCTCTACTAAAAAATACAAAAAACTAGCCGGGCGAGGTGGCGGGCGCCTGTGGTCCCAGCTACTCCGGAGGCTGAGGCAGGAGAATGGCGTAAACCCGGGAGGCGGAGCTTGCAGTGAGCTGAGATCCGGCCACTGCACTCCAGCCTGGGCGACAGAGCCAGACTCAGTCTCAAAAAAAAAAAAAAAAAAAAAAAGAAAGAGTGCTTGAGTCCAGGAGTTTGAGGTCAGCCTGACCAATATAGCAAGACCCTCACCTCTTTAAAAAAAAAAAAGTAGATAAAAAAATACCACAATTGCTCAGGTAGATTGAAAAACAGGCATATAGTACTTATAGTACAGGACCAGCATGCATGCGTGCATTTATTGATTGATTGATTGACTGATTGAGACAGGGTCTGTCTCCATCTCCCAGGCCAGAGTGCTTGGCCTTAAGTGATCTGCCCACCTTTGCCTCCCAAAGTGCTGAGATTACAGGTGTGAACCACCATGTCAGCTGGGGAGGCTTTTTAAAAGATAGTTCCAGGTGTTACAGCTCTTTTAGAATTTGTCTAGCAGGCTTTCAAGTTTTTGCCAGAAACCACCTCCACCCCCACCCTCACCCCCACCAAAAAAAAAAAGATAGTTGCAAATGTTTCCCAGAATAGTTGTCCTGATCGGATCTGTTTTCTCATGTGTAGTGTTTGGTTGTTTTCCTGTCACCACATTGCTGATTATTATCATTTTTAATTATAGAAACAGTAAAGTACAGTAGTTAAAAATGTGAGTTGGGGCTGGGTACAGTGGCTCACGCTTGTAATCCCAGCACTTTGGGAGGCTGAGGCGGGTGGATCACCTGAGGTCAGGAGTTCGAGACCAGCCTGGCCAACATGGCAAAACCCCGTCTCTACTAAAAAAAAATATATATATATAATTTAGCCGGGCGTGGTGGTACACACCTGTAATCCCAGCTACTCAGGAGGCCGAGGCAAGAGAATCTCTTGAATCCAGGAGGTGGAGGTTGCAGTGAGCCAAGATCACGCCATTGCACTCCAGCCTGGGCAACAAGAGTGAGACTCTGTCTCAAAAAAAAAAAAAGTGTGAGTTGTACAATGGGACTGCCTGGGATCACATACAAGCTTCATCCCTTACTAGTTGTATGACCTTGAGCAAGTCACTTAACCTTTCTGTGCCTCAGTTTTATCATCTGTAATGTGGGGATAATAATAGTACCTGCCTCAGAGGTTGTTTTAAGGATTGAATGTGTTAATATGTGGAAAGGGCTTAATATAAGTTGTACATAGCATATGAAAGCTGTTATGTTAAATCTGTTAGCAGTTTTATATGTGAAAATAGCTTCGATTTTCATTTCTTAGATTATGAATCATGTTGAATAATCCTTTATACGCTTCCTGGATTCTTCTCCCCCCACCCCCAAGTCAGTTTCTGACTCTTCACATATTTATGGAGAGGTCTTGGAACCTGGATGGGGGAATCCAGGAAACTCATGGATTCCTTCTTCCTGAATTTTATCACCCAGGTTCACAGCTGGAGCAAAGCTGTTGTTTCACCTGAGGCAGCTGCTGAAGGAGCTGAAGGGACTGAGTTGCCTGGTTAGCTATCAGGATGACCCTCTGATCAAAGGGGTGGACCTACGCAACGCCCAGGTCACAGAGTTGCTACAGCGTCTGCTCGACAGGTCTAGAGGCCAGGCAGGAACCCTGGGGGAAAGAAGGAACAAGGGAAGCCATTCTTACAGATACTGAGCTATATATTCTTTCCACACCTCTCTCTCCTCAGAGCTTTTGTGGTAGAAACCCAGCCCTGCATGCCCCAAACTCCCCATCGACCCCTCATCCTCAAGACTGGGAGCAAGTTCACCGTCCGAACAAGGTTGGCATTCCAGAACTCATTCCTGCTTGCTTTTTCCAACCCTGCCACTTTGTATTTTCTGGCTTTACAGCTCTTCCCACTCTTGGCTTTTTCTTCTCTCTTTCCTCTCAGTCTCCCTACTTCTTATAATCCCTCTTCTCTTTCTCAAACATCTGGCCTATCCAGAAGGTTGAGGTTGACCACTTTCCCCTATCCCCCTTCCTTCCCACAGGCTGCTGGTGAGACTCCAGGAAGGCAATGAGTCACTGACTGTGGAAGTCTCCATTGACAGGTAAATTGGAGCAGGTGAAGGGTGGCCAGGACATGGGCTGCTGGGGTGGAGGAGATACTCATTCTTCACAACAGGGTCTAGGGCTATCTTCTTCCTCCTTCCGTTCCTATCTCATAGAAATTATAATTCATTTCTTTTGTTGAACACTTACTTTGTGACATGCAGCATGTCAGGTACTCATTTAATTGTCACACCAACCCCATGAATTAACTATTACCGGTGCACCGTACAAACAAAGATACAGGCTTAGAGAGACTGATTACGTCTCTTCTCAAGACCACGTAGCTAGTGAGCTCAAGTCAGGTTTGAACCCAGGTCTATCTGATCCCAAAGACCAAACTCCTAACTTCCATACTCTTTTGCCCGATGATTTTTTTTTAATTTATTTCTTTTCAGGAATCCTCCTCAATTACAAGGGTAGGTGCTTGACAAGGACACTGCAAACATCTGTACACTGCACGACCTGCAGAACCACATTCGGCATCCCTGGTGGCACAAACAAGGAGGAGGGGGATTTGGGATATGGACAAAGGGAGATGGCGAGATCTGAAATGAAGTGGAACTTCTGTTTTTTTTTTCTGCTGAGTTTTTAGAGTAATTCCGTTCCTTATCTCCATGTATCTTCTTCCTCCTGGAACAGCTTCCGGAAGTTCAACATTCTGACTTCAAACCAGAAAACTTTGACCCCCGAGAAGGGGCAGAGTCAGGGTTTGATTTGGGACTTTGGTTACCTGGTAAGAATAGTTTGTGACCTATGCTTTTATTACTATTTTTATTTTTTTTTGAGATAGAGTCTCACTCTGTCCCCCAAGCTGGAGTGCAGTGGTGCGATCTTGGCTCACTGCAACCTCCGCCTTCCAGGTTCAAGCGGTTCTCCTGTCTCAGCCTCCTGAGTAGCCGAGACTACAGGCACACGCCACCATGCCTGGCTAATTTTTGTATTTTTAGTAGAGACAGGGTTTCACCATATTGGTCAGGCTGGTCTCAAACTCCTAACCTCAGGTGATCCACCCGCCTCAGCGTCCCCAAGTGCTGGGATCACAGGCATGCGCCACCACACCTGGCCTGCTTTTAGTCCAAAGGAACAGGGGTTGGGGGAAGTTCCCAGGGCTTGAGGGGTCTTGATGCCAAACAGGAGTTCCAGGGACACTAGGGTGCCCACTCTGGCATTTTCTCTCCTTCCCCTCAATTCACAGACTCTGGTGGAACAACGTTCAGGTGGTTCAGGAAAGGGCAGCAATAAGGTGAGGCCAGTACAGAGGACTCGGGGGCAGGGGGAACTTGCCAAAGGGCCTTCTGATGACTATGTCTTTGGCTGTCCCAGGGGCCACTAGGTGTGACAGAGGAACTGCACATCATCAGCTTCACGGTCAAATATACCTACCAGGGTCTGAAGCAGGAGCTGAAAGTGAGTGAAAATGGAGGGCAAGGAGAGAGAAAGCAGCTTTGGAAGAAGGCATAAGGAGGGGATAAAGAAGAAAGAAGAAAGGCTTCTTTGGAAGAAGCCTCTTGGGGTGGATTAGCACTCCTTTCCTCTAACAAATACCTGCAGCTAGAAACATCACATCCCTCTGTGTGACTCCTGTCTTCTCCCCAGACGGACACCCTCCCTGTGGTGATTATTTCCAATATGAACCAGCTCTCAATTGCCTGGGCTTCAGTTCTCTGGTTCAATTTGCTCAGCCCAAACCTTCAGGTAGGGAGTGGGGCCGACAGGTCAAGTGGGGAGAGGAGGGGTGTGGAAGCTTGGTGTGATAGGCTTCTTCTGAGCCAGCCTGCACTCCTCCCACCCCTGCAGAACCAGCAGTTCTTCTCCAACCCCCTCAAAGCCCCCTGGAGCTTGCTGGGCCCGGCTCTCAGTTGGCAGTTCTCCTCCTATGTTGGCCGAGGCCTCAACTCAGACCAGCTGAGCATGCTGAGAAACAAGCTGTTCGGTACAGATTTCCTTTTCTCTCAACCTTTCCCCAGCCTTAGTCTTTCCTGTCCCTCTGTCCTATCTATCCCAGGACCCCTGGCTTCCCTCATCATCTGTCTGTGGCTATCTGTCCCACAGGGCAAAACTGTAGAACTGAGGATCCATTATTGTCCTGGGCTGACTTCACTAAGGTAACTCCCTGAATTCCTGTGGAGCTAGATCTAGCCCACATTCCAAATACTGGCCTTCCCATGTCCCTCCTTCCCTACACCAGGGGCAACTCCTCAGCTCTTGCTACCTTTCCATTCCTCCTCCAGCGAGAGAGCCCTCCTGGCAAGCTACCATTCTGGACATGGCTGGACAAAATTCTGGAGTTGGTACATGACCACCTGAAGGATCTCTGGAATGATGGGTAAGGCCTTGGTCCACTTTGTCTCCTGGGCTTGTGCTTTCTGGGCTTGAGAGTGGAGTCTGTGCGCCCTCATGTGGCAAGCAGGGAGAGAGAGCAAAGACAGGCGTGAGGCCATGTCTCCTCACATTTGTTAACAACGATAGCCATAGACAGTGTTTGTGAAGCATCTCCTGCATTCCAGAGCCTGATGCGCGCTCTTCATTAATTCTCTCATCTCATCCTTATGACTATGCTGAGTGGTGGGTTTTGCCATCTTCATTTCAAGTGAGGAAACTAAGTTTCAGAGAAGTTAAAGAACTTACCCAAGGGACAGAGTTGATATTCAAACCCAGGCCTATGTGACCCCAAGCTCATGCTCTTTTCACCACACTGCCTACCAGTTTGTGTAGCATTTGGCTTTTAAAAGTGCTATTCATGCCGGGCGCGGTGGCTCACGCCTGTAATCCCAGCACTTTGGGAGGACGAGGCAGGCGGATCATGAGGTCAGGAGATCGAGACCATCCTGGTGAACACAGTGAAACCCTGTCTCTACTAAAAATACAAAAAATTAGCCAGGCGTGGTGGCGGGTGCCTGTAGTCCCAGCTACTAGGGAGGCTGAGGCAGGAGAATGGCATGAACCCGGGAGGCGGAGCTTGCAGTGAGCCGAGATCGCACCACTGCACTCCAGCCTGGGCGACAGAGCGAGACTCTGTCTCAAAAAAAAAAAAAAAAAAAAAGTGCTATTCATGACCAGGTGCGATGGCTCACGCCTGTAATCCCAGCACTTTGGGAGGCCGAGGTGGATCACCTGAGGTCAGGAGTTTGAGAGCAGCCTGGCCTGTAACATAGTGAAACCCCATCTCTACTAAAAATACAAAAATTAGCTGGGCATGGTGGCGCGTGCCTATAATCCCAGCTACTCAGGAGGCTGAGGCAGGAGAATCGCTTGAACCCAGGAGAGAAGGTTGCAGTGAGCCGAGATCGTGCCATTGCACTCCAGCCTGGGTGACAGAGCGAGACTCCATCTCAAAACAAAACAAAACAAAAAAAGTGCTATTCATGGCTGGGCGCAGTGGCTCACACCTGTAATCCCAGCACTTTGGGAGGCTAAGGCAGGCAGATCACCTGAGGTCAGGAGTTCAGAACCAGCCGGGCCAACATGGTGAAACCCCATCTCTACTAAAAATAAAAAAAATTAGCCAGGAATGTTGGCAGGCCTGTAATCCCAGCTACTCAAGAGGCTGAGGCAGGAGAATCGCTTGAACCCGGGAGGTGGAGGTTGCAGTGAGCCAAGATCATGCCATTGCACTGTAGCCTGGACAACAAGAGCAAAACTTGGCCTCAAAAAAAAAAGAAAAAAAAAATGCTATTCATGGCTGGGCACAGTAGCTCATGCCTGTAATCCTAGCATTTTGGGAGGTTGAGGCAGATGGATCACTTGAGCCCAGGAGTTCAAAACCACCCTGAACCACATGGTGAAACCCCGTCTCTACAAAAAATACAGAAGTTAGCCAGGCATGGTGGTGTGCACCTGTGGTCCCAGCTACTCTGGAGGCTGAGAGGTGGGAAGATTGCTTGAGCCCAGTAGGTCGAGGCATGGAGGCAGCAGTGAGCTGTATCATGCCACTGTTCTCCAGCCTGGTGACAGAATGACACCCTCTTTCCCAAAAAAAAAAGAGTGCTGTTCATCTGTGTGATCTCACTGAATCTTCGTACCTCTTCAAACCCTCGGAAGGTCGCTGTTGTCAGCAAAGTGAAGTGACTTGTAAAAGATAAAAAAGCTAAGTGGCAGAGCTTGGTCCAAAACCTGGGTTCCAAACCTAGGCTATTTCTCCATACAAGGGGAGCAGGGAGGCAGGGGCCTGGTGGGGCAGGGGGTTGGGGGACGGCTCACAGCTGCTCTTTGTGCTCCAGACGCATCATGGGCTTTGTGAGTCGGAGCCAGGAGCGCCGGCTGCTGAAGAAAACCATCTCTGGCACCTTTCTACTGCGCTTCAGTGAATCGTCAGAAGGGGGCATTACCTGCTCCTGGGTGGAGCACCAGGATGATGGTCAGCTGCTGTGCCCTGCCATTCCCACAGCCTCTCCTTTCTGCCTGGCTCCCCTCTTGCCCCTCTGCCTGCCCTTGGCTTCCCTGGCTCTGTCCTGCATCCCTCAACCGGTTTGGGACTGGGGAGCCAGAGCAGGGAGCTCCAAGGCCCGGCCTCTTCCCTCAAGCCTGCCTGTTATTGCATTCACTCTCCAGACAAGGTGCTCATCTACTCTGTGCAACCGTACACCAAGGAGGTGCTGCAGTCACTCCCGCTGACTGAAATCATCCGCCATTACCAGTTGCTCACTGAGGAGAATATACCTGAGAACCCACTGCGCTTCCTCTATCCCCGAATCCCCCGGGATGAAGCTTTTGGGTGCTACTACCAGGAGAAAGGTGGGAATTGTTGACATACTTCATTGCTAGATTGCAGAGATCTTCAGACATCCATAGATCCCACTCCTTCCTTTCAAGCATGGGAAGACTGATATCTAGAGGAGTTAAGGGATTTGTCCATGGGATACTGCTGGTTCCTATGGGGATGAGACTGCCAGGACCGTCTGAGGGGAACCTCAGGCTATGTGTCTGGCCCACTGATCTTCTCTGCTTCTTATATATGTTCCTCACAGTTAATCTCCAGGAACGGAGGAAATACCTGAAACACAGGCTCATTGTGGTCTCTAATAGGTGAGATATAAACTCTCCACCCATCCTCCCTAGTCCTTTTTGGCTGTGCTTCAGTGAATTGTCAAAAGGGGGCATTACCTGCTCCTGGGTGGAGCACCAGGACGATGGTCAGCTGCTCTGCCCTGCCATTCCCACAGTCTCTCCTTTCTGCCTTCTCCTAACGTGCCCCTATTCCAGTCTCCCCAGCCTTCCCTCCCTCCTAGCCCACTCTAGTTTTTTCCAGTTCTAGTCTCTCCTATCTCATATTTTTCTGCTGCCATCCTTAGGTTGTCTCCACAGGGGTTTCTGGATAATAATGATCATAATGACTGGTGTTAATGGGCACCTACTTGATGCCAAGCATGGAGCTTTTTTTTTTTTCCCCAGACAGGGTTTCGCTCTGTCGCCCAGGCTGGAGTGCAGTGGTGTGATCATGGCTCACTGCAGCCTCGACCTCCTGAGCTCAAGCAATACAGGCATGCATCACCAAACTCAGCTAATTTTTTGTGTGTTTTTTGTAGAGATGGGGTCTTACCATGTTGCCCAGGCTGGTCTTGAACTCCTGGACTCAAGCAATCCACCCGCCTTGGCCTCCCAAAGTGCTAGGATTATAGGCATGAGCCACCACGCCCCGCCTATATATATATTTTTTGAGACAGGGTCTCTGTCACCCAGGCTGGAGTGCAGTGGTGCAATCATGACTCACTGCAGCCTTGACCGAGGGGTTGAAGTGATGCTCCTGCCTCAGCCTCCCAAGTAGCTGAGACTACAAGCACACACCACCACACTCAGCTAATTTTTAAAATTTTTTGTAGGGATAGGGTATCACTATGTTGCCCAGGCTAGTCTTCAACTCCTGGCCTCAAGCAGTGTCCTGCCTTGGCCTCCCAAAGTGCTGGGATTATAGGAATGAGCCCTGGCACTTGGCTGGGGATAGTTTTTTTTTTTTTGAGACAGAGTCTCGCCCTCATTGCCCAGGCTGGAGTGCAATGGCGCAGTCTCAGCTCATTGCAACCTCTGCCTCCCAGGCTCAAGCAATTCTCCTGCCTCAGCTTCCTGAGTAGCTGGGATTACAGGCTAGCGCCACCCATGCCTGGTTAATTTTTATTTTTTTTGAGACAGAGTCTCGCCCTGTTGCCCAGGCTGGAGTGCAGTGGCATGATCTCAGCTCGCTGCAACTTCCACCTCCCAGGTTCAAGTGATTCTCCTGCCTTAGCCTCCCAAGTAGCTGGGACTACAGGCACGCACCACCACCACGCCTGGCTGATTTTTGTATTTTTAGTAGAGACAGGGTTTCACCATATTGGCCAGGCTGCTCTCAAACTCCTGAACTCGTGATCCGCCCACCTTGGTCTCCCAAAGTGCTGGGATTACAGGCGTGAGCCACTGTACCCGGCCTAACTTTTGTATTTTTAGTAGAGACGGGGTTTCACCAAATTGGCCAGGCTGGTCTTGAGCTTCTGGCCTCAAGTGATCTGCTCGCCTCAGCCTCCCAAAGTGCTTAGATTACAGGTGTGAGCCACCGTGCCTGGCCTGAAAGTTTATTTTGTGCCAGGCACTAGGCTAAATGGTTTATGTTTATTTTCTCATTTTATTGAATCTACAAAATAGTCCTTTGAAGTAAACACTGTTACTGTTTTCAGCTAAGGAACTGGATTTAGAGTAGTCAAGTTTTGTACCTAAGGTACATGGCTAATAAATGATACAGGTCTGTTAGATTCCATAGCCCTGCTTTCAACCACCCTACTGCCTCTCAAGAATTACTAGGTATTGTTCTCATTTATAGATGATAAATCTGAGGCTCAGAAAAGTTAGGATACTTGCCTAAGTTCCCCCAGCTAGTAAATGCCAGGATTCAAACTCCAGGAGGCCTGATTCCGAACTCCATGATCTTTAGCCCTCTGCTCTTCTGCCTTCTTAGACTAGCTGCTTCTTGTTCTACCATTCCTTCTTTCATTTAAACCACTGAGCCCTGCCCCTTTGTCTGTCTTTGGGTATCCAGACAGGTGGATGAACTACAACAACCGCTGGAGCTTAAGCTAGAGCCAGAGCTGGAGTCGTTAGAGCTGGAACTAGGGCTGGCGCCAGAGCCAGAGCTCAGCCTCGACTTAGAGCCACTGCTGAAGGCAGGGCTGGATCTGGGGCCAGAGCTAGAGTCTGTGCTGGAGTCCACTCTGGAGCCTGTAATGGAGCCCACACTATGCATGGTATCACAAACAGTGCCAGAGCCAGACCGAGGACCTGTGTCACAGCCAGTGCCAGAGCCAGATTTGCCCTGTGATCTGAGACATTTGAACACTGAGCCAATGGAAAGTAAGTGATGAAATAGAGCTATGGAAGACAGCACACATTCCCTTTCCTACCCCTTCTCCCTCTCCCATTACAGAAAAAAACTGAGCTCCAAGCTCCTCATTGGAGAGAGGTCCATTCTGTGATTCCTTTTTTTTTTTTTTTGGAATTACACATGCCTTCCCCCACCTCCCTACTCTTTGATCCCACAAGTTCCCCCTCAGGCTCTTCCCAGGCCTTTCCTGCCATCCTCCCTCCCTTTCCTTGCTGGGTTGGGAATTCCTAACTAAGATCAGGGCCTCACTTTTCTCTCTGGGTTACCTAGTCTTCAGAAACTGTGTAAAGATTGAAGAAATCATGCCGAATGGTGACCCACTGTTGGCTGGCCAGAACACCGTGGATGAGGCTTACGTCTCCCGCCCCAGCCACTTCTACACTGATGGACCTTTGATGCCTTCTGACTTCTAGGAACCACATTTCCTTTGTTCTTTTCATATCTCTTGCCCTTCCTACTCCTCATAGCATGATGTTGTTCTCCAAGGATGGGAATCAGGCGTGTGTCCCTTCCAAGCTATGTTAACTGTTCAAACTCAGGCCTGTGTGACTCCATTGGAGTGAGAGGTGAAAGCATAACATGGGCACAGAAGGGACAACAATGAATCAGAACAGATGCTAAGCCATAGGTCGAAATAGGCTCCTGAAGGCTGCCTGCTGTGCTGGGAGGTATAGGGGTCCTGGAGGCAGGCCAGGGCAGTTGACAGGTACTTGGAGGGCTCAGGGCAGTGGCTTCTTTTCAGTATGGAAGGATTTCAACATTTTAATAGCTGGTTAGGCTAAACTGGTACACACTGGCATTGGCCCTTGGTGGGGAGCACAGACAGGCTAGGACTCCATTTCTTTCTTCCATTCCTTCATGTCTAGGATAACTTCCTTCCTTCTTTCCTTCACTCCTGACTCAATCCCTGAATTTCTTCTTTTCCTGCAGGGGTTGAGAGCTTTCTGCCTTAGCCTACCATGTGAAACTCCACCCTGAAGAAGGGGATGGATAGAAGTAGACCTTTTTTTCTTACCAGTCTCCTCCCCTACTCTGCCCCTAAGCTGGCTGCACCCATTCCTCTCCCATAAAATGATCCTGCCAATCTAATGTGCCTGTGAAGCTTTGCACACTAGCTTATGCCACCTAGTCTCTACTTTCTCAATGCTTAGCAGACAGATCACTCCTGGAGGCTAGGGATAGTAGGATTGCTGGGAATTTAGCAATTGCTTTTTTTTTTTTTTTTGAAACAGGGTCTCACTCTGTTGCCTAGGCTAGAGTGCAGTGGTGCAGTCACAGCTCACCGCAGCCTCAACCTCCTGGGTTCAAGCAATCCTCCTACCTCAGCCTCCTGGGTAGCTGGGACCATGGTATGCACCACCATGCCCTATTTTTTTTTTTTCTTTTTTTAGAGACAGGGTCTTGCTACGTTGCCCAGGCTGGTCTTAAACTCCTGGGCTCAAGTGATTTTCACGCCTTGGCCTCCCAAAGTGCTGGGATTATAGGCATGAGCCACTGCGCTCGGCCAGGAATTTTTTTTTTTTTTTTTTTTTTTTTTTTGAGATGGAGTTTCTCTCATTGTCCAGGCTAGAGTACAATGGCGTGATCTCGGCTTACTGCAACCTCCGACTCCCGGGTTCAAGTGACTCTCCTGCCTCAGCCTCCCAATTAGCTGGGATTACAGATCTGCACCACCATGCCCAGCTAATTTTGTATTTTTAGTAGAGATGGGGTTTCTCCATGTTGGTCAGGCTGGTCTCGAACTCCCGACCTCAGGTGATCTGTCCACCTCGGCCTCCCAAAGTGCTGGGATTACAGGTGTGAGCCACCATGCCTGGCAGGAATTTCTTTTTATAGTATTGGATAAAGTTTGGTGTTTTTACAGAGGAGAAGCAATGGGTCTTAGCTCTTTCTCTATATGTTATAATCCCCCCCTTTTTTGTGCAATATGTTGTTTACCTGAAAGGAAGGTTTCTATTCCTTGGTTGTGGACCTGGACAAAGACCTAGTCTGTGGAACTTAAAACCCTGAAGGTCGGGCCGGGCGCGGTGGCTCAAGCCTGTAATCCCAGCACTTTGGGAGGCCGAGACGGGCGGATCACGAGTTCAGGAGATCGAGACCATCCTGGCTAACACGGTGAAACCCCGTCTCTACTAAAATACAAAAAAAAAATTAGCCGGGCGAGGTGGCGGGCGCCTGTACTCCCAGCTACTCGGGAGGCTGAGGCAGGAGAATGGCGTGAACCCGGGAGGCGGGGCTTGCAGTGAGCTGAGATCCGGCCACTGCACTCCAGCCTGGGCAACAGAGCTAGACTCCGTCTCAAAAAAAAAAAAAAAAAACCCTGAAGGTCTGTCATAGGACTCTGGACAATCTCACATCTTAGCTGTTCCCAGGGAACCCCAAGGTTCTAAGATGTCCTCCTGATGTAGCTTGAGATATAAATGAAAGGCCCTGCACAGGTGGCTGTTTCTTGTCTGTTATGTCAGAGGAACAGTCCTGTTCAGAAGGGGGCTCTTCTGAGCAGAAATGGCTAATAAACTTTGTGCTGATCTGGAAATGTCTCATCTCTGAACCTCTTTTATTTCTCTGCTCACAAAGGGATACCAACAAGCTGCACAGAAATAAAGTCAGAAAATTGTGACCTCTCTTCCATCCACCCCTTTATGTTCCTCTTGTCATATTTCTTCTTCCCTTTCTGTTTGGAGTAGCCCCTCCTGTCCCTTAGACTCTTCTAGGGGTGCTGGGAGGTATATATGCATTGTGGGGGGAGGGATGAGTAGTTATATAACTGTTTCATTGTCACTCAGCTGATTGTTGGCAAAGCCAAGACAGGAACCTGTCTGGATTTGTCTGACTTCAAAGCCCACAATTTTTGATGCTGTGACTATGGAAAAAAAAGGAAAGGAAATAATCACTAGCCACTTCCCTTCGTCTTTTCTTTTTTCAAAGAATTTCAGCTACCCTTGAGTTACCAAACTTCCAGAGGGACTCCAAGGCTGGGCGTGGTGGCTCATGCCTGTAATCCCAGCACTTTGGGAGGCTGAGGTGGGTGGATCACCTGAGGTCACGAGTTCAAGACCAGCCTGACCAACATGATGAAACCCTGTCTCTACTAAAAATACAAAAATTAGCCAGGCGTGGTGGTATGTGCCTGTAATCCCAGCTACTCGGGAGGCTGAGGCAAGAGAATCACTTGAACCTGGGAGGCGGAGGTTGCAGTGAGCCGAGATCACGCCACTGCACTCCAGCCTGGGAGAGAGAATGAGACTCCATCTCAAAAAAAAGAAACAAAGGGACTCCAAATGTCCTTTGAGGGGAGAGTCCCATTGTTCCGGGATATTTACCTTCATTTCCTGGAATGCCCTTCCTGCTCAAAACTGAACTCTGACTTTTGATCCTACAGTGATCAGGACCCCTGTCTTTGGCCAGATACACCCTTGGCCAAGAAAGCAGGGAAGGAGACACTGGATCAGGGAGCAAGTGACCCTTAGGTATAACCCCACTTCCTAATCTGGTAATCCCATTCTGCTTGCTCAGCCATATAGGAATTAATACTAAAGAGATCCCAGTTATTCTCTACACCAGGGGGTCATGAGAAAATACCTCTCTCCATCATAGCCCTTCAGAATAGAAGAAAGGGATGCATATTGTAATCCCTTGGCCTTATTTTTCCATCAATTTCTCTTTCCCAATTGAGCCTAGAAATTAGACTCATATAGCCACAAAAATAAGTGTTTATTGAAAAAGGTACATAATTCAATATAAATACAATAAATAATCCTCCCCAAACTGCCCCCAGGAAGATAAATAATCCCCAAATTTCCCTTCCCATCTAATAAATACTCAACCTTATAAGTCAGCATCACAAGTCAGTCAGTATTGGTAATTTTCAACATATGCAGGTCCCATTAATATTAATGGACTAATGAACCTGTTGGCTCACAGGTGCCTGGGGTGGTAGATTTATCTTGGCCTTGCTGGGCCATGGAGATCTGAGTGCCATCCTTGAGCTGCTGGCTTTAGGGGCTCAGGGTTGCTGCTCCATGGGCAAAGACCCGGGCAGCTACAGCCACAAAGGCCTGGAGGCTGCGAAGGATTTTGAAGCGGAGAAGGAGGCGCTGCCATGGCTGGCTGGGACTGGGGCTTGGAATCTGCTGAGTCTCCCAGTGGTGACCCTCAGGCTGAAAGGGCATAGGACACAGTCAGAGAAGACTCTAGACCCTTAACCCCCAATCCTCTGTCTCTGACACCTGCAAGCCCCCATCCTCCAGGCCCCTACTTAATACCTGCAGGAGTTGGCTGAGGCCCAGTAGGGAGGCATGAAGCTGGCCCACAGGGCTATCAGGCAGCAGAGAAGGCTCCCCTGTGAAAATATCCGATCCCAGTAGCTTCTCGTAAAAAATCAGACCCTGGCGAATCCTTTGCAAGCAGAACTAGGGAGAGAAGAAAGCAATGAAAGAGGACATCCTCTTCCTACTCCATTCACTGAAGACTCACCCAGTTTCTTACTATTTTCAGACACAACTTCTGGTTTACCATGGTACCCAGCCATGTTCTCAGTCCCCTCTCCTTCATCGCCCAGCCACATCCCAGTGGTACCTGACTGTTGTCCCTGAGTCCTTGGGGGTCACAGCCATCTCCACACTGGATATGGGGAACATCATTTGTAGTCTCTTCATCTCCCTCTTCTCTTAGATCCTGGAATGGAGGAAGGGGTGGAAAGAATGAAGAAGTAAGATAAGTACTTTTGAAGCCAACCTGACCCTCAGGCCCGACTCTCCCAGGAACCCTACTCTCTTGCCCTCTCTTACTCCCTGATGGCCTTCAACCCTCCAGTTTCCACTCAAGGCCACAGTCTTCTACCACAGCCTTGGAGAGACTCCTGTTAGGCTCCAGGGGCTGCCACTCACCATGTGTCCCACTAGTGGATGTGCACTCCAGGCCAGTGTGCAGAGCTTCTGTGAAAGCTGCTGGCACTGAGCCCAGGCAGGGCTGCTGCCCCCAGGCACAGCCCTGCCCTGAGCTGTCCAGGACAGCAGCAACAGCAGCATTACAGCTCTGCTCCCCAGCATCTTTTTTGCCTTCTCAAATCTGGCTGGCTCTGTGCCTTGCACCAGTCCTTGTGGAATCTCTGCCCACTTCCACTTGCTTTGAGCCTGATTCTGTTCAGTGCGTCTCTGATTTGGTTCCCTCAGTTGTTCACCGACTTTGTAAGCTGCTTCCTGTTGTTTTTCTCCCTTTGTCTCTGAGTCTTTTAAGGTCCCTGCATTGTAAGGCCCGCCCTTTATACCAGCAGGTGACTCACAGCAGGTGGGATTCCCCTCCCTGCATCATCCCCCTCTGTGGGGAGCCCAGGTATGCAGCCTCAGTTCCAGGGGAAATGAGTCGTGTGGTTGCTGTGGCTAGAGGCCTAGGATGGGACACATGTGTAATGCTCTCCAGGAATTGAAATGGCTGTAGAAGGGGCGGGGACGGGGGGTGGTGGGGAGTGCACAGCAGGGATGGGGCTGGAGGGGGGAAGGGAGAGCAAATATTTAAATCAATCTGGTCTCAGGCCGGGCGCGGTGGCTCAAGCCTGTAATCCCAGCACTTTGGGAGGCCGAGACGGGCGGATCACGAGGTCAGCAGATCAAGACCATCCTGGCTAACACGGTGAAACCCCGTCTCTACTAAAAATACAAAAAATTAGCCGGGCGTGGTGGTGGGCGCCTGTAGTCCCAGCTACTCGGAGGCTGAGGCGGGAGAATGGCATGAACCCGGGAGGCGGAGCTTGCAGTGAGCCGAGATCGCGCCACTGCACTCCAGCCTGGGAGACACAGCGAGACTCCGTCTCAAAAAAAAAAAAAAAAAAAAATCAATCTGGTCTCAAGTTCCTTCCTGTTTGACCTTTCCCTGATCTTTTTGCCTCTCAAAGCTATACCCCTACCCCACCCCAAACCTAATTTCCTCACTTCCTCCTGCTTGAGGAAAAAACAAAACAAAGAAACATTCATTCATCTCCCAATAGGATGGTGAGCTGTTTGCAATGAAGTTTGATTCCTACCTGATGACCTCTATTAGGAATAAACAGGCTTCTTTTTCTCAGTTGGAAACAGCATTATTTTCAACTGGATGGTCCTGGTTTCATAGGAGAGAATGGGCATGAAGGAACTTGGAGAACTGGGAAGCCAGTATGAGGTCTTATTGCTCCCCATTTCAGGCCTCACAGTGGAGGTTAGAAAGGCTCTTGTGGGAAGGGGTTTATTGACTAAGAACCACCTGATTCTTCAACCCTAGTGGCCCAAGATTTCATAGGCTCTATAAGAGTTGGATGATGTTTTTTTCCGGACTAGTGTAAATAAGGCCTGGAAGTTCAACTTAGACATTCCAGCACTTAGCCCCATGGCCTCATTCTGATGTCATCCAAATTGTTCTGGGACCCTCCACTGGGGTTGGGGCAGTCCCGGCTTTGGACCCCATGGCTAGGAAGCCCAGGAGTTCTGGGTAGTTGAAGGTGCAGTGTCAATGACTCTGGCTGGTCCTTCAGCTTGTTGCATCCATGGGTAAAATCCACTGACACCGATTTCATCACCCTCCATGATGCAACATCAAGTGAAACAGCTAAGAGTGTGAGGTTGGGCGTGGGAGTGGAAGGTGGTCCAAAGCCGGGACTGCCCCGACCCTAGTGGGTCCCAGAACAATTTCGAAGACGTCAGAATGAGGCCATCAGTGACCACACAGCTGGCTCCCATCACCTCTCCCAAGAGGTTGACCCTTCTGAGAAATTTGTCCTGAATGGAGGTCTCCCTTCCCTTAGAACTATTCAAAACTGCCCAATGACACTTCTAGTTCAAATATTATGATTCTGTAGGTATGAGCTGAGAGAAGAAAAAAAAAATATTGTGATTCTAAGTTAAACCTACCAAGGGCCAGGCACAGTGGCTCAAGCCTATAATCCCAGTACTTTAGGAGGCTGAGGCAGGTGGATCATGAGGTTAGGAGTTCGAGACCACCCTGGCCATCATGGTGAAACCCTGTCTCTACTAAAAATACAAAAAGAGCCAGCGTAGTGGTGGGCACCTGTAGTCCCAGCTACTCGGGAGGCTGAGGCAAAAGAATCGCTTGAACCTGGGAGGCAGAGGTTGCAGTGAGCCAAGATCACACCACTGCACTCCAGCCTGAGTGACAGAGCAAGACTCTGTCTTAAAAAACAAAACAAAACAAAAAAAACCGGCCGGGCGCAGTGGCTCAAGCCTGTAATCCCAGCACTTTGGGAGGCCGAGACGGGCGGATCACGAAGTCAGGAGATCGAGACCATCCTGGCTAGCACGGTGAAACCCCGTCTCTACTAAAAAATACAAAAAACTAGCCGGGCGAGGTGGCAGGCGCCTGTAGTCCCAGCTACTCGGGAGGCTGAGGCAGGAGAATGGCGTAAACCTGGGAGGCAGAGCTTGTAGTGAGCTGAGATTCGGCCACTGCACTCCAGCCCGGGCGACAGAGCAAGACTCCATCTCAAAACAAACAAACAAACAAACAAAAAAACAAAAACAAAAACAAAAAAAAAACCTACCCCTTTAGATTAAACATTTCCAGCATCAGAGAATTATCTGAGTTTGGGTGAGAACTGATTTGCCTTTCTCCCTAATAAGATGGACACAAATGGAATAAGGAAATGGGAGGGGGCAGGATAGGGAGTTCACCTTACTTGTGTACAACGTCTCCTTTGCTCTTCCCATCTCTGGTCCCCATTCTGGGAGCCCTAAAAGATAAGAGATGAAAGAAAGATGAAAAGGAGGAGGAAGTAGAGCCTGGGGGATGGGATGAGAGGGACAAGGGTGAGTTGGAGGCACAGGGCTCTGCCTCTTTGTTTCACTTCCTGGTGCTGCAGTAGTTGGGTAGGAAGCAGGGTTGGTGGGGAGATTGTGGGACTGTTGAGTGGCAGGAACTACATCCAGGGCTACAACTGACCTGGAGCTATAAGGAGCCCTTGACGTCAGCTGGGCCTAGACCGTTATGCAAATCACATTCACAAGACACTCCTAGGCAGGCCTTTCCAGTTGTATGCCTAGACTCCAAATCAGCTGAAGTTCCCCCAGGTGGTTAATAATGATGGCTAATATATATCCAGCTCTCGCTTAATGCCAAGTACTTTGTCTAAGCACTTTACATGTACTAAACTATTTGATTTCCACAACAACCCTTTAAGGTAGATACTATTATTACCCTATATTACAGATGAGGAGGCTGAGGTGCAGAGATAAGCAATTTGCCCAAGTTCACAGAGCTTCTAAGTGGCTAGAATTCCTTTTTTTTTTTTTTTCCAGAGACAGAATCTTGCTCTGTCCCCCAGGCTGGAGTGTAATGGCACCATCTTCGCTCACCTCAACCTCCGCCTCCCAGGTTCAGGCGGTTCTCCTGCCTCAGCCTCCCAAGTAGCTGGGATTACAGGGATGCGCCATGGGTGCTAATTAGGGGTGGCTAATTTTATATTTTCAGTAGAGATGAGCTTTCTCCATGTTGGTCAGACTGGTCCCGAACTCCCAACCTCAGGTGATCCACCTGCCTCCGGCCTCCAAAAGTGCTGGGATTACAGGGGTGAGACACCACACCCGGCTTAAGTGGCTAAAATTCTAATGCAGACAATCTAGCGTCAGATCCTGCATTCTTTTTTGTTCTTGGTTTTTGGGGGGTTTTATTGAGACAGGGTCTCACTCTGTCACCCAGGCCCGAATGCAGTTGCATTTCCGTTTACTGCAACCACCACCACTAAGTGATCCCCCCCATTTCAGCCTCCTGAGTAGCTGGGACTACAGGCACAAGCCACCATCCCTGCCTGGATCCTTAGTTTTTAATCACTGCATTACATTGGATACTGTACACCACATATGGTCATGCCTGTAATGCCAGAATTTTGGGGGGCCGAGGCAGGAGGATCGCTTGAGCTTAAGAGTTCAAGACCAGCCTGGGCAATGTGGCGAAACCCCACCTCTACAGAAAAAAAAAAAAAAATTATCTGGGTTTGGTGGCCCATGCCTGTAGTTACAGCTACTTGGGAGGCTGAAGTGGGAGGATCACTTGAGCCCAGAAGGTTGAGGCTACAGTGAGCGAGAGGGCCAATGCACTTAAGCATGGGCAACAGAGTGAGACCCCATCTCAAAGAAAAAAAGGCTGGGCGCGGTGGCTCACACCTGTAGTCCCAGAACTTTGGGAGGCCGAGGCGGGCGAATCACGATCTAATATTACTGTATTAGAAAGGGTAATAACAGCTGAGCTAAATAATCTATGTCATGGATGCTCTTGTGTCTCCTCACAGTATCCTTTTTTCTTTTCTTTTTTCAAGACGGAGTTTCGCTCTTATTGACCAGGCTGGAGTGCAATGGTGCCATCTCGGCTTGCTGCACCCTCCCCCTCCCAGGTTCAAGCGATTCTCCTGCCTCAGCCTCCCAAGTAACTCGGATTACAGGCTCCCGCCATCAGGCCCGGCTAATTTTGTATTTTAAGCGGAGACGAGGTTTCTCCATGTTGGTCAGGCTGATCTCGAACTCCTGTCCTCAGGTGATCCGCTCGCGTCGGCCTCCCAGTGCTGGGATTACAGGCGTGAGCTACCGAGCCCGGCGGACATACATTATTTAGCCCAGGTTATTGGGATCTGTAACTCTCATGGGTCTGTTAAGTCTTTCTCAATTCGAGACCTCAAGATGGAGATTTCTTAAAGTGTAGGAACTGTCTAGGTCTCTCAGCACCCACCTTTTTCGGAGATTTTACATCTAATGACCTGCAAAGTCAGATCAAATCAGTTTGAGAGACCATGTGTCTTTTTATCTCGGTCTAGGCTTTAGGACCTCTGACTGGGTATAGGACCCCACCCCTCTGAGTCCTGGAAATTTAAATTCTTGGGTCCTTTAATGAAGGTCTATTTACCAGCCTTTATTGAGAGAGAAATGTTATAGAATTGAATCCTCCATAAGGAATGTCTCCCATCAGAGTCCCTTTATGTGACCTTTAGAAACAGTAATAACAGCTAAAGTTGAGACATCTCACAACCCGTACCCATTTCAAAGCAATTAGAGTTCATAGGACCCACGAATTCTTCAGAATAACAAAAGTCTCAATTTGCCAGGCTCATCCCCCTCTGAGGGATAACGTCCAGCCAGCCTCAAGAGCTAGGGGAATTTGATAACCAGGGGCATCCTGTTACCCGGGAATGTTACCGGGGTCTCTGGGGAGGGAACAATCACGGATGGGAGTTTCAGACGGTTGCCTGTAGAGGATGCAGCCACTTGGACTGGGTCAGGAATCCGGCTCCCGGTTCCTTTTTTTCTCTCCCATATCTAGAAATGATAGGAAATGCCAGCGAGTTTCGGGGGCAACATGGTCAGAGGTGGCGGAGTGGCTCACAAGAGCAACGCAGGGAGAGGAGGTGGACGAAGTCCCGCCGGGAATACCCAACATCGACTCCTAGTGCTTTGCCTTGGGTGCCCCTTATTTTAGAGTTCCTAAAGTTATAGAAAGCATAAAAGTTTGGTTTCCAACTCTAGACGTAATTTTGTTCAAGAAGACTAAAAAGGGTTACTTTTTAACGCCACGTAACAAGTCCGGCGTCTGGTTGCGTTTGTCCCACCGGCGCCCCGTAACCTCTTTTTCCGGCGCCTGCGTCACACGCTCTCTCCTGGAGTCGCCGTACCTGGCTCCTTCTGATTGGCTTAGATGCGCCCGGAGCCCTTCTGATTGGCTTAAATGTGCCCCGAGCCCTTCTTGATTGGAAGGCGCGCCTGGGAGTCCGGTCCTTGGCGCCGTAGTGGTTAGGTTGAGGCCCTAGGCGTGGGGGAGAACTGGGGAAACTGGAATTTCCCGCGGAGCTGACAGCGCTTGCGCTCCCCCTACTCGTTGTAATTCCACGCGCTCCAAAATATCCGCCATGGAGAAATCTTGGTAATGACCCATTCCCCGTAAGCATCCCAGGAACACATCTGACCCTTGCCCTATCCCCCTCCTCGCCGCCGCCGTGGGAGAATTCTGGATAACCGATTTCTCTGGTTCCCCCAGAGAATTCTGGGTAACTAGCTGTTTCCACCACCTTCCCCTGCCCCCGCCCCAATTGTGGGTAACTGGCCATTATTGTTTTCCTCTGGGGAATCCTGGGTAGCTATTGGAGAGGATTCTGGGAAACTGACTTCTCGTTCTCCCCACCGTCCAACCCATCCGTCCTCACCCCCAATTCTGGGAGAAAGCACCTTAGATCCCTCTACCTAACGCCAACCCCTGCAGTTCTCGCTCCCTTCACCTGATGATTCAGGGCTGAACCAGGCAAGTGAGCAGTCTGAAATGAGAAGAAAGGGAAGTCAAGGATTAGGTTAGATATTGGGGTGGTGGAGAGTACAGAGGGCCTAGCGGAGGAGAGATAGGGACAACAGTTCTACCACCTCCACCCCCACTGCCCATCCCTCCCCTGCCTGCTTCCTCCTTTGGCTGGCAGTCTCATCCCTCATGCCTGCCTCATCTCCCTCCTGCCCCATAACTTAGAAGATCCTACGTACCAGTACCTGGACCTACCCTTGACTCAGCTACCTCTTTCCCCTTACAGGCCAGGATGTCCATTCTAGGCCCACCGGTGCTGTCTTGCTGAAGGTTGGGTCAGGCGTCTAAAGGGACTGTGGTAAGGGAGGGTGTGACATAGGTGTAAGCTGCCATCGTCATCATGAACTTTGAGGGTCTGGACCCTGGACTGGCAGAGTATGCCCCAGCCATGCATTCTGCCCTGGACCCTGTCCTGGATGCCCACCTGAACCCAAGTCTGCTACAGAATGTGGAGCTGGACCCAGAGGGAGTGGCCTTGGAGGCTCTTCCTGTCCAGGAATCAGTGCACATAATGGAAGGTGTCTACTCTGAATTGCACAGCGTGGTGGCTGAAGTGGGTGTACCTGTCTCCGTCTCCCACTTTGACTTGCACGAGGAGATGCTGTGGGTGGGGAGCCACGGGGTAAGAACTGTACCCCTTTGTGAGGGTTGAAAGATGTTGAAGGTCTTTATCTGGTCTTAACCCAAGGACAGCCGCTTTGCAAATAGCCAGTACTGAGGAGTTGTAGTGATGAGACAGCTGGGTCTGGTTGGAGGGATAAATGGAGAATCTAGGATCTAGGAATAAATGACATATTCTTTATCAGAAGGCATCCCACTTTTTTTTTTTTTTTTTTGAGACAGGGTCTTGCTCTTTCGCCCTAGGCTGGAGTGCAATGGCACAATGTGATCATGGCTCACTGAAGCGTCAACCTCCTGGGCTCACACAATCCTCCCACTTAAGCCTCTCAGGTAGCTGGGACTACAGGTGTGCGCAACCAAAACCAGCTAATTTTTTTTTTTTTTGAGACGGAGTCTCGCTCTGTCACCCAGGCTGGAGTGCAGTGGCCGGATCTCAGCTCACTGCAAGCTCCGCCTCCCGGGTTCACGCCATTCTCCTGCCTCAGCCTCCCGAGTAGCTGGGACTACAGGCGCCTGCCACCTCGCCCAGCTAAGTTTTTGTATTTTTAGTAGAGACGGGGTTTCACCGTGTTAGCCAGGATGGTCTCGATCTCCTGACCTCGTGATCCGCCCGTCTCGGCCTCCCAAAGTGCTGGGATTACAGGCTTGAGCCACCTCGCCCGGCCAAAACCAGCTAATTTTTTTTTTTTTTTTTTTTTTGAGACGGAGTCTCGCTCTGTCGCCCAGGCTGGAGTGCAGTGGCCGGATCTCAGCTCACTGCAAGCTCCGCCTCCCGGGTTCGGGCCATTCTCCTGTCTCAGCCTCCTGAGTAGCTGGGACTACAGGCGCCCGCCACCTCGCCCTGCTAGTTTTTTGTATTTTTTAGTAGAGACAGGGTTTCACCGTGTTAGCCAGGATGGTCTCGATCTCCTGACCTAGTGATCCGCCCGTCTCGGCCTCCCAAAGTGCTGGGATTACAGGCTTGAGCCACCGCGCCCGGCCAAAACCAGCTAATTTTTAAAAAATTGTTTAGTCTTACTCTGTTGCCGAGGCTTGTCTCAAACTCCTGAACTCAAATGATCCTCCTGCTTAGGGCTGCCAAAGTGTTGGGGTTACAGGTGTGAGCCACGGCACCTGGCCAGCATCCTGCTTTTGTCACAGTTGCTCATCCAGTGTTTTGATTTATATTGATAGTTGTACCCATCACTTAGTCTGTAGCCATCCAAATCTAATCTCTATTGCTATTGCCCCACCTCTGTTTTCTATTTTTATTATTATAGAATATTTAATGTATGATTCTGCATATCTTATATTGAATCATTTTGTCTTCTCTGGCTGATTTTAATCTCAGAGTAGTTATCAATCTTAATTTTTTAAAATCTGTATCCGTATTGCCAATATGCTATGGTGCCCAAAGGCTTTGTAAGAAATACTATGCTGTTCGGCCGGGCGCGGTGGCTCACATCTGTAATCCCAGCGCTTTGGGAGGCCAAGGCAGGCGGATCACGAGGTCAGGAGATCGAGACCATCCTGGCTGACATGGTGAAACCCTGTCTCTAGTAAAAATACAAAAAATTAACTGGGCGTGGTGGCGGGTGCCTGTAGTCCCAGCTACTCGGGAGGCTGAGGCAGGAAAATCACTTGAACCTAGGAGGCAGAGGTTGCAGTGAGCCAAGATCACACCACTGCACTCCAGCCTGGGTGACACAGCGAGACTCTGTCTCAAAAAAAAAAGAAAAAAAAGAAACACTATGCTGTCCTTTGTTTACTAATTGACTTCTTAGGTCATGAATTGTTTTTCCATTAGAAGGGATGAATTTTGTGTGTGTGATTCATTCAGTTTAGTAGGCAGTGTCTACTGCTATGCTAGGCGCTGTGAATAAAGCTAAATAAAACATAATCCTTGCCCTCAAGGAGTTTACAGGACAGTGAGCTAAAAAACATATACAAAAACAGATAATTTCTTTTTTTTTTTTTTTTTTTTTTTGAGACGGAGTCTCGCGCTGTCACCCAGGCTGGAGTGCAGTGGCCGGATCTCAGCTCACTGCAAGCTCCGCCTCCCGGGTTCACGCCATTCTCTTGCCTCCGCCTCCCGAGTAGCTGGGACTACAGGCGTCCGCCACCTCGGCCGGCTAGTTTTTTGTATTTTTTAGTAGAGACGGGGTTTCACCGTGTTAACCAGGATGGTCTCGATCTCCTGACCTCGTGATCCGCCCGTCTCGGCCTCCCAAAGTGCTGGGATTACAGGCTTGAGCCACCGCGCCCGGCCAAAAACCAGATAATTTCATGGTACTAAGCGCCAGTGTGAAAATCTGTACTGGATGCTGGACAGGATGGAGGATAGTCAGGGCATCCAGAAGGATGTAACCCCTGAATTGAGTCTTGAAAGATGAGTAGAAATGAGATGAAAAAGATGGGAAAAGGCTGTCTTAGCATAGGATAAGCAAAGATTCCAAAGATATACAAAGCTTGGTGAGTACAAAATTCCGGAACTACAAGCAATTAGGATTTACCTGACTGGAGGAGGTAGACATTTATTCATTCAACCAGTGTTTTTTTGAGCCATATACTAGGTGTCAGACCTTGCTCTAAGGTCTAGGTTTGGAATAAGTAAGTAAACAGGAAAACATTACAATACATTCAGGTGTTGATTAGTACTCTTAAGAAAAATACTGGCTGGGCATGGTGGCTCACACCTGTAATCCCAGCACTTGGGGAGGCCAAAGCAGGCGCATCACCTGAGGTCACGAGTTCAAGACCATCCTGGCCAAACGTGGTGAAACCCCATCTCTACTGAAAATACAAAAATTAGCTGGGTGTGGGGACAGGCACCTGTAATCCCAGCTACTTGGGAGGCTAAGGCAGAATTGCTTCAACCTGGGAGGCAGAGGTTGCAGTGAGCTGAGATCGCACCACTGCACTCCTGCCTGGGTGACAGAGCAAGACTCCATCTCAAAAAAAAAAGAAAAAGAAAAATACAGTGAGGCCAGGCACAGTGGCACCTGTAATCCCGGCACTTTGATAAGCCAAGGTGGGAGGGTTGGTTGAGCCCAAGAGTTCAAGACCAGCCTGGGCAACATAGCAAGACCCCATCTCTATTAAAAGAGAAATACAGTTGAGTAAGGGGGTTGAGGTAATGAAGGGTGGGAAAGGTTGCTATTTTGTTTGGTTTTGTAGTGTTTTAATTTTAATCTTTTTTCCTAATGGCTCTTTTAGAAACAATGTTGCTACTTTAGATAGTTGGTCAGGAGTTCTCTCTGATAAAGTAACATTTGAATAGAGACTTGAATGCAGCACCAAAAAGGGGAACAAGGAGGCAGAGCCCCATGCCTCTAACTCATCCTTGTGCCTCTCCTTTACTATTCTAGGCCCTCTAGAACGGAGGGAAGGACCCATGTTCCTTGGGAAGGAACATTCTAGAGAACTTCATATGCCATGTTAAAATAGCTTGGACCTTGAACTTGAACCTTCAGGCCACTGAAGGGCTTTTTTTTTTTTTTTTTTTTTTTTAAAGACAGACTCTCACTCAGTTTGCCCAGGTTGGAGTGTAGTGGTGCCATCTCAGCTCACTGCAACCTCTGCCCCCCAGGTTCAAGTAATCCTCCTGCCTCAGCCTCCCGAGTAGCTGGGACTACAGGTGTGCACCACCATGCCCAGCTAATTTTTGTATTTTTAGTAGCCCAGCCTCAGATTTAGGAAATATTTAGGAAGCAAAATAGGCCAGGCGCGGTGACTCAGACCTGTAATCCCAGCATTTTGGGAGGCCGAGGCAGGTGGATCACCTGAGGTCAGGATTTTGAAGCCAGCCTGGCCAACATGGTGAAACCCCCTTTCTACTAAAAATACAAAAAATTAGCTAGACGTGGTGGCGCATGTCTGTAATCCTAGCTACTTGGGAGACTGAGGCAGGAGAATTGCTCAAACCCGGGAGGCAGAGGTTGCAGTGAGCTGAGATCGTGCCATTACACTCCAGCCTGGGCAACAAGAGTGAAACTCCATCTCAAAAATTAATACATAAATAAAATATTCTAAAAATCCTTGGTTATCTAGTGGTTAGGAAAAAATAAATAGGACTTGACTGTCAGATATATGGCTTGGTCAACTAGGTAGATCTTGGTACCATAGAGAATACAGTAAGAAAAATTGAAATGAAATAAAAATGGTGAATTTAATTTAGGATGTCATGAGTTTGAGGTTATGATGGGATATTTAAGGAGGTTTAGTAGTTACCGTCATCTTCTTGGTATCCATGTGGGATTGGTTCCAGGATCCAAAGATACCAGATACCAAAATTCAAGGATGCCTAAATCCCTTATAGAAAGTGATATAGGCCGGGCGCGGTGGCTCAAGCCTGTAATCCCAGCACTTTGGGAGGCCGAGACGGGCGGATCACGAGATCAGGAGATCGAGACCATCCTGGCCTACACGGTGAAACCCCGTCTCTACTAAAAAATACAAAAAACTAGCCGGGTGAGGAGGCGGGCGCCTGTAGTCCCAGCTACTCGGGAGGCTGAGGCAGGAGAATGGCGTCAACTCGGGAGGCGGAGCTTGCAGTGAGCTGAGATCCGGCCACTGCACTCCAGCCTGGGTGACAGAGCGAGACTCCGTCTCAAAAAAAAAAAAAAAAGAAAGTGATATAGTATTTGGATATAACCTTATGCACATCCTCCCAGATGTGAAACATAAGAAAGTCAGCTGGCCAGTAGAGAATTGGACTATGTCCCTGACTTTCTATAGACTGTTCTAACCAAGTGAGCCATTACCTATTCTGCAGGGTCATTGTGAGGATAAAATGAGGTAGAGTTTACAAAAATACTGTGTAACACATTAAACAAACATAAGACAGTATTATCAGTGTCTTTATCACTAAGATTGACTGGTTCCTAGCCT